CCAACATTACATAGCATAACACAGCAAACAAGATATCTAAGAGCTATTGTAGCCATAGTTTTAGGTGTTAACTTGCAGATCAAACAGTTGAACTAGAAAGATAGTTCCTTTCCAGCAAATCCAGGCTGGATCTGAACTGACATAGAGAAAGGAATGCCCAAGTGATTGTTTTCATAATACTTCCCAAGAATTAGGTGATAATGTGGGGTCTTCTATGATTCCGTGTTGTAAGATGCTTACCTGGGTTTGCACAGTGGTCGACATGTGTATGGCATTCAGATGTTTAATGAAGGAATGAATTAATTTGGTTAGTATTCTAAACCATGAATATAGTTTATTGTATTTGAATAAATGACAAGAAACAAATCCTGTCATTTCATATTTCATCCTTCTTTTCTTTTCTTCTTTTAAACTTGCCATAGGGCACATGCACTCACCTGATGATAGAGGGAGAAAGTACCCCCATGAGAATGGCTATGCCACAGTCCCTTCTCCACTTTCCCCTTGGGATTTGGGGCATGCACATACATGTGTGGCATATTTTTTAAGCTGCTGGATCTGGACTCATACCACACAGTTGCCATGTGGGATCCAACCACCCATCATAACCATCACCCCACTGGCTGGCCTATTTTCATCCCTTTTGCTTACCTCTCATTTCACTGTATGCTTTAAGGCAGAAAGCAGCAGAATTAATCAGAAGAATTAAAAGGATTATTATCCAAAAGAAATAATAAGGATTTTAAGTGCCTTTTCATTTCTACTTCCTAAACTTGACAATTATTAACTTCCTCAAAAATAGCCTGGTACTACTGTCCCAGGGAAGGATGTAAAGGTGGTGTGGTTAACAGTGAGTGCTCTGGTTTCTATGCTAGTTTTGCAACTTAGTAGCCAGCTGTATAACTTCTGGCAAAGTTCTTAACTTTCTATTCTACTTTCTCTTAAAATAAGAATTCCGTATAGGGTTATTAAGAAATCATCTTCAAAGAGCTTAGATCAGTTCCTAGCACATAGTAATGCACTTTTAAAAGAGATAAAGGTAGCCAGCAGGTGGTGGGGTGATTAAGGCACTGGATTCTCATGTGCCTGACCATGGTTTGAGTCCCAGACCTGGTGACTTGAAAATCATGCTGGGTGCTTTGCATGTGCGCACGCAAGCCCTAAATCCCTAGAGAAGGGATTGTGCCATAGCCATCCCCAATGGGTGATGATTTTTCACTTTCTCCCTCTCTCCTTCCCTCTCTCTCTGTCTTTCTCCAGCTAGCACATGTGCCCTATGGCAAAAACCTAAAAACAAAAAGAAAGAGATAAGGACGACATATTCACTCAGCAAACTTTAATTGAGTAGTTGTCTGAAGACAGCTGAAAAGCCAGAACTGTCATTCCCCCAATCTCCCCTGTGAAGGAATTTTGTCTGTTAGAGAAGACAGATAAGTAAAATAATGATAATACCAACAATAGCTGCCAATTATTGAACATCTACTGTATTTCAATAGCATTATTTTATATCTACGAATAAAATACAACTTACAAAGTATAGCTATTGTCCCCATTTTACAAATGAGGAAATCAAGGCTACAAGATGTAATTTGCCCAAGACTACATAGCTAAGAAAAGAAGCCAGGGGACCAGCAGTTAGCGTAATGGCTATGTCGCTGGACTCCCACGTAGTCAACCACGGTTCGCGTCCTGGACCCTGTGGCTTAAAACTCACGCCGGGCGCGTGTGCGTGCATGCCCAAGATCCCGAGAGGAAAAGGGATTGCGGTGTGGCCATCCCCCCCTGGGGGGTGATTTCTCCCTTTCTGTCTCTCTGTCTCTCTCTATCTGTCTGGTGAACGCACACGCCCTATAGCAAAAACCTAAAAAAAAAAAAAAAAAAACTAGAAAAGAAAAGAAGAACTAGAAAAGAAGCCAGGATTTAGTCCCAAATTTCCAAATTTGCCTGATTTCAATTACCCATTTATCAGAGGAGTATAAGCGCAATATTTGGAGTGCTTTGACAAGGTTGTAGAAGACCTCTGTCTACATGATACTGTAATAGATTAGCAAGCCCGATGGTCGATCAGTGTTTCTTTCAGTGTTCTACAGAGTCGAGTTCCTGTTTTCCTCAGTTACCCAGAGCAAATAGAAGTAAACAGCCGCATAGTGTACAGCTCCTGTAGGTGGAGAGGAAGCTTACTCTGCCCTAGATCTGTAAAGCCGGGGTGGAACTCAGCGGCCACAGCAGGTGATGCTTTCCTGGCACGTTCTTTCTTGCCTGTCCAGTGTACAAGGGAGAACCAACACGGTAAAGAGGCCAGGCCTTCTTCCTGACAGGCCTCTCACCCAGCCACTCCTTTGAGTTCATCTCACCAGGGTGCAGGGAAG